AAAAAAAAAAAAAAAAAAAAAAACATTTGCACCATTTTGTACAAGAAGCTTTATTATACATTTAAAAAAAAAAAAAAAATTGTGCCAACAAGTACTAACCACGCTCAATGCTGCTTAACTTCAGTGATTGGACGAGAACTGGTGTTTTGACTCAGCATGATATGGTAGAGTTGACAAATAATAGTGAAATATCTTAGTACTTAAATTAGTTGGAAAAAATTTTGGTTGTCTGTAAAGTTCGATTTATGGATGATAGTTTTACGTGGTAACGTCATAAAGAAACATTAATGAAAAATTGCATACTTTTATGAATTAAATTGAAATATTATCACTGAATTATCATTATTTTGTATTTAAAAATTTTTTAATTTTAAATATTTAAAAATTATTTTAATAAAGAAAAAGTACTTATTGATACATTGTTAATTAAAAATTTATGTAATTATTTGATAATTGATATAATTATTATTTATAATTAATATTAATTTATTATTTTATTATTAATACACTTTTTCGTGCGTGCAACCGATGTTCATCGATTTATAAGACGTTATCACGTCAAAAAAACTAACTTGATTCAATAGAAAAATTCTTGAGCTAATATATTTTTCTCGATTTAATTCAATTTTACTTGATTCAAAAATTTTTTCTTCCTATTAATTTAAGAAGACAATGAAACTCTTAAAAGTTACTTTGTTGTTCAAGAATTTTTCTCTTGAATTAAATTCATTTTTTTTTTTTTTTCAGTATACATCATCCTTTAGAATATACAGATGAAGTGGTGTAAATCCGCGCTTCCTATCTCCACAAAGTATATATTTCATTCTGGTTTATTTCTTCTTTTATCAGTTGCTTCACTGTTTTAATATCACTAATTCTGCTGACTAATCCAAGTAAATTGTTATTAATTATAAACAATTTTTATTTCAGCACTTTTTTTTGTTTTTAATCTAATTAATCTACTTATTTTGATACTGAAATCAGCAGACACTTGTTCGATTTTATGAAAATTAAATTAGCCGATATCTGAAAATTTTAATAATTTTTTTCATTGAAAAAATTATTAAAAGAAAAAATTTCACATGTAGAAAATTTGAAAAATTATACGTGCAATTATTTAAAAATTTTTTTTCACTTGTAATTTAATTGTTGAAAACAATAAAAAATTGTTGAACTTCGGCTAATTTTAGTATCATTCGATTTTTTTTTTTTCAGAAAAATGTTTTTAAGAAATTGCACTTATGGTTTTTTTAAATCTTCTACAAGTGAAATTTTTTTAAAATAATTTTTTTAATAAGAAAAATTATAACTATTGTCAGATGTCAAGAATTTGAAATTGTAGTAATTTTTATTGCTACTTTTTTTTTAACAATTAGCATTGCTCTTCACTTTGAAATACTTACTTATAATGAGGTTCCAATTCTCTTGATTTTTTCTTTTAAAAAATTGCGAAAATTATTGACCATCCTGCATTAGATTTTTAAATTAAATATTCAATATTTTCTACTGTCGTCGGTTCTGCAACATAAACTATGGTAAACGATAATAGAAGACAATTTTTTTCTCATAGATATTAATTTAAAAATAACAACAAAATTGACAGATAAAGATTTTATTTTAAGAATTATTATATAGTTTTAAATACATCAAAATCATACGAAATTTCATTAGACACAAAGATATAGTGCAATAAAGTTTACAATATGTTAATTATTAATCATTAGATATTATTTAAAATATATATATATATTTATGTATTTGCTTAAAACTTTTCTTTATTACTTTTAGCTTTATAATTTAAGTTTCAACATTTCTTCGCTTAACTTTTACTTAAAATTTTTTTGTTTTTCCATTCAATTATCTCACAGGCACTTTGTCTCTATTAAAAAACGAATATATTTTGTTAACACATAACATTAGTCAATTAATAAACTAAAATATTATAATATCATACATTCATTAAGTTAATGCGAGACAAAAATTTTATACAATTGTGTCTTTAAATTTCAAGATAAATCAATTTTTTATAATATTATACATAATAATTAATTATTAAATAAACTAAGTAAATCAATACCAGCCTTAGACTATTTACATATTCTTGTTACCCATTTATATAATTAACAATATTTTTATGTATTTTTTTTTTTTCTTAAGTACTAATGAAATACAATAATTTTATTTCTTATTCATTTCTGCTTTTAAACTATAATAATAAAAACAAAATTTAAAAACGTGTGTCAACTACTAAAGTATTACGACAATAGAAATAAAAAATTACATAGTCACTAAATCGTGCATTCGTGAAAAAAAATTATTATAATTAGTAAATCAATAATCAGCAATATCAAAAATTTTTTTTTTAAATATCAGTTTATCAATTCAATCAATATTTTAGTAGCAAAAATAATCATTTGATAGTTTAGACATCAGAAATATGTAGTAATTAATATTAATAATATTTGTATCCATGGTGTAAAAAGCACAAGATAAAAATTTATAAATTTGTATGTTTACTGATACGCATCAGAGTCTTATTGTATTTTGATGGTGTTAAGTCTTATTAGTTTTTCTCATAAATTATTTTTACTTTACCACGCCGATGATCCATTCGAGTCCCACTGTGCGTTTTTATTTTTAATTATTTTATCAATTTATTCGTGTAATTATTTTTTAATAAAAATTAGTCGGGATCATTCTATCTGATAACTTTGTCCTGTCCGAAAGCCGCACAGCACTCGAATCAGTCGTAGAGAGCTGAAACGCATATTTCTCTTAATTTAAGTTCAAAATTAATTTTTTTTTACTTATAGTTTTTATTGTAAATGACAACGAAGCTTATTCAATTTACATAAGCATGAATTATTTCCCCTTGGGTATATTTTTCACAAATACACGATTTTTAAAGCGTTGAGGCAAGAATTTAATAAAAATTATTGCATGAGCACTCTTATCAACATCGATATCAATTTAAGCACAATAATTACATTTAAGTTTTATTATAAATTGTTGGTATTTAAATGAGTATTCTTAAATTGATTTTATAATTTTCTTTGTCTGATTTTTTAAATATTTTTTTGGTTTAATTTCTTTTTTTTTTGGATAATTATCCAGTATATGTTTATGTGTTATCACATTTATACTTTTTAAGTTTGACTCAAACTGAGTCGCACCAATACTTCCGGTAGAATTCAGTAGGTCAGTTTTAATTATTTCAAATAAAAAAAAAAAATACTTTTTATTATTAATTATTATCTCTATTAAAGATTTTTTATTGTTAAATTAAGTACTACAAATTTACGTCAAATTTTTTAAAAGATTAATAAATTTTGGAATTTCTCCTCAATTAAAAAAAAAATTTAATTGATTATTTTTGCAAAAAAAAAAAAAATTAAAAAAATTATTTTTACAATTCCAATAAATAAAACTAACAGGAAAAAATTCCAAAAAAAATATTTTTTTTTTTTTACAATTAAAAATTATCAACTATTTTAAAACTACATATTGTCTAAAAAAAAAAAAAAAAAACTTTTATATATTTATGTATAATAATATTAAAGTGTATATAAATCAAAATGAAAATGAGAGTGATAATTTAAGTGACAATGATTATTTAATTTTAATTGCATTATCGTGCGTATTATTTTTACACTTATCAATACCAGGAGATGCTGAGGAAGAAGTAGAAATAGCATCAACGGAGCTGATATCAAATTTATCGCAAACAGAATACTCATTAACTTTATGAATACCCTTGTCATTAATAATATTATTAATCTTATTAAAATTATCACCAATACTTTTTTCAATACCATTCGAAGTATTCGTACCGTTGACACCGTTTCGCGCGTAGCCTAATCCGTTTTCGTAACCGTTTGCATCATTACCGTTAGCCCTACAACCCATCACTCCGTTAATATGTTTTTTAGGAGAGGCAGCCACTGCCTCGAAGGTATCTCGTTTTATTTCTTGTGTTGAAGCACCTTTCACCATGCCTGCAAGAGCGTAATCTGTACAATTCAAAAGCCATTGACGTTCACGAGCACAACACACTAAGCGGGCTTTCAACTCCCTTTCCGCTTCATTTTACTTAGTTTTATTATTTATAATTATAATTAATCAAGTATTATTTATTTATTTAGTATATTAATAGTTAAAAATTAATTTTACAATTCAATTGTACTTACTGTGTAAATTGTGACAGTATTTACTTCCAGTTGTGTTCCACTCTTCCCGCAAGCTCAGGTTGAACATACTGTAGTCGGGATTACCTGTCACATCTTGCGCAATGGCCAAAAAGTTTGGTAGTATGTTTTTTAGTCCATCTCCTGTCAAAGCTGTGTATGTTTCCAGTAACATCAATCCACGGCATCTATATTTAAATTTATAAAATTATCAATTCTGTCAGTAATTATTATATTTAAGGCATTAATTTTAGGTAATTTTTTGAAGTGTAGTAAAAAAGGCAATCAATAATTTTACTATCCATTTTTTATAAGTTAATTATTAACGTTATAAGAATACAGAAAAAAAATGAAAAAAGTTAAAAATTCAAAAAATTAGCAGCTGAAGAAGTGGAGGGGTCTCAAAAAATTGCCACGTAACTATACCCACGATTCCAACCCTCCTAGCTACAAGAAAGAACAAGATGACACTGAATATCATCCCAGATTATACTCAGTGATATCTGTGGTGAAAAAAAATTTCAGATAGTAGCTAGAAAAATCCAGATTATATCTGGATCATACTCATTGTAATTTGGATTGTACTACCTACTATCTGAAATTTTTTTTCATCACAGATATCACTGAGTATAATCTGGGATGATATCCAGTATCATCTTGTTCTTTCCGTATATCTAAAATAAAAAAATCAAAAAGATTACTAATCTAGAGTAATGTCGCTATGGCTAGAGCTACAAAAAAGTTGAAAAAAAAATTTTTCACTAAATGGCGACTGCCTAAAAAAAAAAAAACAATTTTTTTTACCACTTTTTTTTACTTTTGCGAATTTTTAAAAAATGGTAAAAATTGAATTTTGGAGATGATCGTAGTTCCAGCCATAGCGATATTACTATAGATTAATAATCTTTTTTATTTTTTTATTTTAGATTTCTAGGCGGGTTGGAATCATGGGTATGGTCACGTGCCAATTTTTTAAGACCCCCCCCTCACTTTATCAGCTGCTAATTTTTTGAATTTTCAACTTTTTTTATTTTTTCTGTATTCTTATAATGTTACTAAATAACTTATAAAAAAATCTACAGTAAAAATATTGATTGCCTATTTTTTACACTTCAAAAAATTACCTAAAATTCTTGCTTCTAAACCAGATAACCCCTTTAAACTCAGTTTTATTATTGACTTTATGTTAATTACTGACCTTTGCTTTCAAATTAAAATTTATAAAAAGTAAAGTTTAAAAATTTTTTTAATAATAGACAACTTGAAATTTTAATGGCCAGAATTTAAAGTCACTAATTAAAACATTAGTTAAATAAAAAAAAAAAAAAAAAAATTGTACCGTGGATGTCCAGGTTCTCGGTAGATGTCCAATTGAAAATACTGATTATTTATTAAAAAACACCGTCTGCGCTTGAAAATCGTAAAATGCGCATCATCACGTTGAGCTAGCATATTTAAATAATCACGATGTGTTAGAGGTGTTTTGACTTCAACAACTTGTCCGCACATTTTTGGTCGTCTTATTGTATGTATATACGACCAGTGACCTTTATAAAAAGAAAAGTAAAAAAAACGAATTAATATTAAAAATAAATCCATTTATTATTATTATTATAAAATTGTGTTGTAAACAATTTAAATGAATAAATCATAAAAGCAATTAAATACGAAATTTATATGTATGTATAATAATAATGACAATAGTAATATCAATAATAGTTAAGAACCTTTTTGTCCACGTTTTCTCAAACGCGCCTGCATGCTAGGCATTCTACTCTGGAGGTAGTTATGTACGACATCAAAGTCTTGAAAGGGTGGAAATTCAGCGTCTGATGGCAACGGTCCTTTGACAAGAAACTTAACTTTTCGACTACTAGCACGTAATCTATCACCAGTATCGATACAAAGTTTCTGGCAGATACACTCAATCATGCGGCATATTTTAGACTCGAAATCCTGTGAATTGTCAATCACGTCAAAGTATGGGTGCCCCACCCATGCTGCTGCTGCTTTGTAGTCCAACTCGCGAGCCAGCTCGACTCCTTCTGAACGACAAGCATGATCTTCAGTTGAGTAAAAATCTTCAGCGCCGTTTGCCGCTGATACCATGTGGATTATCTGGTCATAACGATTGTCTCGAAGCTCGACGTTATTCCACCCGTTTGTGGCTAGCATCAGGTCCCATTTTTCCTTTGAGATAACTAAAAAAATTTTAATAAATTAATTAGTTTTTTTTTTTTATTTTTAATAATTAATTTGAAAAAAAGTTGAAAAATTGCAAATCTACTTTTTTTTTAAATCATTAAAATTACAGAATATTTTTATATTTATCTAAATAAAAAATTTTTTCGAAATTTGTAAAAATTTTTTAAGATTTACTTTTAAAAAAATAAAATTTTTTATTATATAATTTAAACTAGCAACCTTGCAGTCACTATGTGACTGCCATGACTTATGAAATATAAATAAATAAAATTTTGCTCTATTAAATAATGACTTTTGTTAAATTGCACTGTACTTTTATAACTATTGACGTTTTTAAAGATATAAGCTTATCAAGAGCTTTCATTTGAGTATCCATATGCATTTTTTTATATATTTTTCATATATACATATATGTAATATATATTATATTTTAATATATAAAATATATGAAAAATTGATGTGGGTACTCAAATGAAAGGTATTGATGAGTATAGTGTCGGGACGAGCTTTTTTTTTTTTTTTTTTTTTTTTTTTTTTTGTTGCAAG